GCCTAAACTATAAGGTAGTATTTCTGCACACATCAGCTTATAGCATTTGGCATTTTAGCAGGTGTACATGTGTGCCCATTATCTGACATAACAGCAGAATTTTTTCAGAACTGAGTCAGACTGGTGCAACATGTGTAAGAGGATGCAGACCAAACTTCTGCGTAATAACTTTGGCTTTTATTTACACTGGATCTCATCAAATTCCCACAGTAGTGACTTTAGAGACAACAGATCTCTAATAACATTAGGAACAGCATGTACAGCAAATTGCAAAATTCTCTTTGGTGAATATGCTGCTCCTAGTGATTCAGACTGAAATATAATCCATTTATTATATCAATAATTAGTAGATTTATACCAAAAAAATGTACATTTGAAATTAGAACATAGCAGATTTTTTAGATTCCATATAGAAATATAGGAATTGTTTGAATATACCAGAAAGGGTATTTAATATTTCCCATGAAGATACTGCAAAGGTACTTGGCTTTGAACAGAAGGCTTGATGATACTGTATACAGTTGGTGTACTGAAAATGGGTGGTTTACAGCATATTGAACATGTTAGTCTCTTCTTTGTTAAGGAGTTAGAGATTATACTAACAGAGCTAAATTTTATAGAATCTGGGCCAAAGATTTCTGATTTCAATGGCTAAAAATTGAGCAACCTTGCAGGACTGCTCCAGAAAGGCTTGCTGTAAGATGCTTTGAATGTTGAGAGACAGATCTAAAGACCACCAAAGCCATGGAAGGGTCTTCATTAGGTTTCACATACTTTAAAGCAGATCAGCAGTTATTAGACTACAAAAAAGTATTGACTAATTTGATTTTTCATTAAGCAACCTGCAAAAGTATATCTGTCAGTGATTCGTACACTCTTCAGAAAGAGAAAAAGGGATGAAAGTATAAAGTCTTCATATCAATTTGCACAAAAAATTATTTCTCATAAAATCATGCAAAAGTGCCTGTCCAGTATGGTGGTTAAGTGTACATGTTGCATTTTTCTTTGTTGTCATCTACAGGCTCTGTGGTGGCCTCAAAACTCAGGTTTAAATTACCTTGAAATGCAGTTTCAAATATGATGATTGGAGGTGGTTGGTCATCTCCCATGGACTACTGAGAGAATTCCAATCAATTCCTGAATGACAGTCACTTCAAAAGATGCTATAAATGGAGGCATCCATGTGCACATGCAATCTAAAAGCTTTTCTTTACATGTTTTGTCAAAATGCTCTTTGCCTACATCATGTTAGAGGCTGAATGTTAGTTGTGTGTCAACTGAAGAGATGTGAAAAACCAAACCCCAACGTGTTCTAAATGTGACTGCTGTTTTAGTGCAGTCACAAGCAGGATCATGTTTCCAAGCAAATACAATGCAATTCTTTATACTTCTGTTGTGTGATGGACAGAGGCATATAGTCTTCTCAGAAGGTCTGTATTATGCTGTTCACCAGGTTCCTTCGAAGTTTTTTTCATGTCTTCACCTGAAAGTTACTATAAAATTTTCAGATGCATCTCTTCTATCTGTCATTGGTTCAAAATGCCAAAAATGTTATCCTGACTTCTAATTTTGCCATGTGAATTGCTTGTTTTGGTAGACTAAGGTTTAGAAGCTTGCTTCTTTTCTGTTGTTTTACACATGGGTAGCTCCAGTAGAGTAATTTCCTGCTTTGCATCACTGTGAAGTGAACAGAGTACCAGACCAAGGCTGTGAATGTTATGTATCAAGCAACACTAGGTGTATTCTGGGAGTTTTTTGATAATGGCTTTTTTTTTTTCCCTTTAAGAAATTTTAGTTTGTCATGGGTTTTCTGTTTTGACATACTCCCAGAAAATGAAACCTGTTTTCTTGCTAGTTCAGTGAGCAGGTTGTGGATCCAGAGATTGTGGGGGAAGCCTGGGAACCCGTGGAAATAAGGTCTCCTTGGCTCCCACATTTCCTGCTGTAGTCCCAAACATGCAGGAACCAGCACAGCTCTCAGCTCTGCAGAGGGTAGCCTGGAAGCTTACAAGATGCTGGTTTGGCTGAGATCTGCAGGCTCCATTCTGCCGTATTGAGTGATGTTGCTTTTGTCATGACTCACCCTCAGATCAGGAGATAAGAGATGTTCAGAACCCAACAAGGACTGGGATGCTTGAGCTTCTTACAGAAATGGTTTTATAGCTGTTGTCATGACAGTGATCATGAATGATCAGAAGTATAGAAGAGGAGGAAGTTAAGCTAACCCAGGAGGGGCCTCTGAGCTTAGAGGATGGAGATATGAATTCAGTTTGTCTAAAAACATTGTTTTAGAAGTTGTTATTGAAAAGCAATTTTTCCTTAGGCAAGGCTTTTCGAAATTGATCTTTTTGACAATTTACAGATATGGAATTTCATGGTACAGAAACCTGCTTTTTAACAGCTCTGCTCTTAGTGACAGAGGACTGTGTTCATCTTCTCAGTCAATGCCAGGCTAGTGCTCTGCTGATAGAGCCTCAGTCTTAATCTGATGAGTTTTCTCCTGTGTGTTGTTACTGTACTTTACTCCCCAGGTGACTCAGCCATGCATTCATTACATTTTCCCTAAGGTTCAGTCTAGATAGTTCTTGACATGAACATATCAACAGCCAGCTGCAGTGGTAAGTGAGAAAAATTATGGGTTTACACATATTTCAAGAGGAAGATACTCCATTATCTGGAGATTTCCTCTTTTTGCAGGTGCTAACTTGAGTTCAGTATTTCAACAGTGAGCACATAACCACTGCACTCCTTTCAGAGAAAAGATATCTGCTTAATTTTTATGGTAACTCTTCATTTTTTATTTCATAAAGCATTTCAATAAACCTATTTTCTCCCATAAAAAAATAAGCTGAGGGAAGTTGTGTTCATTCTACATTTTGGTCAGAACATTAGTTTTTTGGCTAATATATCACCTTCTAAAAGTCTGTTTATGTATAGGTATAGTTCTAGGTTTAGCTGAAGACCTGATCTGGAGGAGTTAACAATGTCATTGTGTGGCCACTGCCACAGGACCACACTGAAACTTCTACACAGCCAACATAGTCAGTGTACCTTAAACAGACACAAACCAGTGGCATGTACTTGGTGATACTTGGGCACAGAGAGGGATCTATTGTCATGCAATAATAAATTCAGAGTAACATCATTAATCCAGGGAGGCAGAATAATAAATATAATGCTTTGTCAGTGAAAAGCTTCCCTAAAGACTTACTCCCTCCTCTGGAGCTCTGAGGAAGGTGTCTGCTTGTGCTGTATGTAATGCTAACTCCCCTAATGACACCAGGGTTTACATCAGTGTCTGTCATCTCTTAGACTGATTTATTTTCAAAAACTGGAAATAGGTTCAATAGTTTGTTCTGTCAAATCAATCCAAGTATGTTTTATTGTGGTATTACAGCCTCTGGTTGTCTTGCACAGCTCTTATGCTGATGCCAGAGAGCTTCTTCTTGTATGAGTAGGAAGAAATAAGCCTATTGCACCAGTGAGGGAGACCCATAAATCCCTGTCTATTTCTAAAAGCTAGTTCAGCTTCTGGTCCCAGACAGACTGCAGCCCTATGCATTAGAGAAAGTACAGTGTCAGATTAAAAATTGGCATTCTGCAGAGCACATTCAAAGTCAATAAATGGACTTTAATTTTTAAAGGTAAAAATGTAATATTAATAATGGTTGGCTCCTCAGTTTCTGGAATGTTATGAAAGTCATAAACTCAGTTGAGCTAATATAATAACTCTGGTCTAAGGTTGTCTAGGAACTGAATGGGAATACTTCAAAATTTGCTCCCCAAACTTTGTGTGACATATCACAGCAGGTTCACATCTATGTTTTTGGGAGTGAGAAATTAAAATTCTACAAAAAAAAAAAGAAGAAAAAAGCATCCAAAAAACCACCATCAAACAAAAAACCACATTCAAACCCCCCCACACATGGCTACTTCCTCAGTAGATAAAAATTTGCATAGTACTTTTGAGTTCAGTGAAGCTTTGAAAATTTGTGGAAGTTCAGAACTGGGTTCAATTAATTGCAGTCTCTGTAATGGGCTTATATGTATATCAGTATCTCTGTTATTATCTCCCTTTTCTTTATTTTCTTGGTAGTTCTGATCTATCTCTGTATATTAATGAAGAAGATTATTGTGAACGTCATCTTTCAGAGAGATTGTTTTGCATGTAATCAGGAGAAAAAAGGTGTGTAAATATTCTTCCTAAAGAAATGGTAGGGAGCATCATATTGGAGTTCATCATCAACAATGAAGCTAAAAAAGAGAACTTAACATGCTCTTGTTTTTTGGGGATTTACCACACCTTTAACCTAAAATGTGTAAATGCTGTGAAATTAGTAATGAGAAGTTTTGAATCAGAAAAATGAACCATATCTAGTTGAACCACAAAATATCTGGAGTGTTGGAAGGCTGGCATTATCAGAAGAAAAACAGACTTTTTTCTAAAGTCATTTTAATCACATCAGTCATGTCGCAGCAAGGAATGCAAATATTCATATACTACAGATTGAGGCTGCTCTGAAATGTTCTGACAATCTGTTAGGTTTTGAGTGATGTTTCAACCCTATCACTTGGGGTTTTTTGTTTGGTTTTTTTTTTTTATGACTATAAAAAAACACTACTCATCTCTGTCACATGCTGTACAGGATAAAAAGCCTTTCAGTTTTCTTAACAAGAATCAGACGGCCAGGGTGCTGCTGGAACGCAGAGAATATGCCACTGTCTGTTCAAAGTACAGCTTAATGAGCCAGACTAAACACACTGGACAATAGAGCTGTGGGGGGAAAGGGCTTCTCGTGGATCTCTGGATCAGCTGCAGCTTTAACATCTAACTAGTTTCATTTTTCATCTTTGCAAGTTCCATTTCCCTGTTTTGTTGGTATAAACTGCATTTCAATGAGCGGACTTTCCTGCCTAGGTGATGGTATGGTGTGCTTTGAAAGAAGGATATCGTGGATTATACTAGAAATAATTTCTGTGTTTCTTTTTTTCTCTCATAGTCACGACCTATTCCCTCACACCTTACTTCAGCAGTTGCAGAGAGTATCCTGGCTTCCGCCTGTGAGAGTGAAAGCAGAAATGCTGCAAAAAGGATGCGGTTGGATAGACAGCAGGTACTGTGTTGTTTGGGGGTCTGCCACATCCATATTTATAAATGCACTGGACTCATTTACATAGGATGCCATGCAGAAGGGTGGTGCAGTCCCTTTTATGTTTCTTGCTAGCAAGAATTATTAAAATACAAAAGCTGTAGTTTTGAAAATGAATACACAAGCATGTCTTTGTCTATATTTACATAAGCTGTGTGAGGGTGTCTAATATATTTCTGATGTCCAGCTGGATAAAGCTGTATATTGACTTTCTAGCCATTGTAGATTTTGAGAGCATAATGTGTAATCTGTATACCAGGATAAAAGAAACAGAACATACAGCATATACAATTTACATAGATAACAGAAATGGTGCATGTATCTATGACTCAGTGTATTTATCTGTGCACATACTCTCTTTCAAAACGTGTATGCATTTGTAAATAGAGGGTGAAATAGTGCAAGTTTCTGAAAATGCCTATTTGCCTGAAACAGAAAAGTTATTGTGATATATTACAAAATGCTGTCAATTAACTTACGAGTTTTTAAAGCTCATGTATTTTTTTCTTATGTTGATTATGCACCTTTTATAGTGCAGGTTAGGATTTTATTATTTTTAATTTTCTGAGAATTGGTATTTTCTCTCAGTTTTTAAAAATCCAATTAGTAGCTCATTCCAGGCTTTGATTATTTATTTGCTCCACAGATACAGTGACTGTCTAACATTCTTATTGCAAAGGCTATTATGCTTTATTTCCCTTCATGATTGTAACTAAGTAAAATCTCAGCAATATCTCAGTAGTTCCAAAATATGCTTCTGTCATGGTAGATGAAACTGATTTTTTTGTGGAACAGAACATTTTAAAAAAGAACATTTTCCTTTTATGCATAGTTCAGTGAGTTCTTTCAGGTCATGCCCTAACTTACAGAGGATTCCTACTCCTATCCTTATAACAGTGATAGTTTAGGGTCTGGAGCGTATATTGCTGTTTCTGTTTGCTGTTACACTTTTTGCTAGTATTTTCTTTATTGTGCTATATTTGCCTTAAGATTTACAAATCACATGGGATGCCAAAGCACTGTAATATTATGTATAGCTTAGATTAGAGGCAGTGCTCATTCAGATTATGCAGGTTTTATATTCTCTCCTTTGCTCTCTGATTTTTCAGTAATAAAAAAAAAAGCTACAAAGCCAATATGCTTACCCCAAGGAAAACAAAAAATGACTCATGCAAACATCAGTTACTTTCATTGCAAAAAACTAATGGCTTAATTCCTTGGTCCAGCCAGGGTGAGGCAGAGTTTTCAAGTTGTTTAAATGAGAATCCCATAATACTCTCCAGGGAGCCAGAGAGCTGTTGAAACAAAACCCCAGTTTTTAAACTGTAGTCAGAACTCAAAAAGCATATTTATAGGAATTTGTTTCTTCTATTTGTGGTATTACTATCATAGAAGGATTTGGTAACAGCATCGGTGTGAGAGGCATTTCTTTACTTTTCATTACAGAATTAAACATCTATAGTCAGAATGTCTCCAAACTGATCACCTTAATTACAACTGTGATGTTAAAGTAGCAAAGCTACCTATGAAGAGCAGGTGTTAGGTTCTGCTTCCTTCAGCTCTTCCCCTCTTTTGGCAGTGAGTTCTGGGAACACTGTGGAGACAGTTGTAAATAGCACTAGCTGTTTGATTCAGCAAGCAGTAAATTAGCTGGGTTGGTGTAGCTTTGGTGCTTGCAAAACTGTTTGTGACTTCAGAATAGATATGCCAAATAGTTATGGCTGGAAAAAAAATGGCAATGTCTGTTAGGTAGTTTCATAAAACTTATGGTGAGAAGTTTACCCTGCAGGGTGGCAGAGTTGTGTAGAAAACCTTGCTTCTAGACCCAGTTCTACTGAAATTTAATATTTTATTCCATGTATGTGACATTAACAAATTAGGCTGAGAGCAAAGCATTCCAGAATATTTATGAGTGGGGTATTTAATGCACACTAGTGTGCTCAGTTTATGTGCTGAGATGAGAACTGGACCTGTGTCCTCACATCCATGGAGTGTGACTTCTAGGTAAGGGGGTTCTATTGTTCTCCTCTTCCTATTTTTTTCTTTTAACTTACTGTTACATTTCCTTTACTTTTCTTACATATGTCTAAAATGAAATATTTTTGCTGGATTTTTTTGTTGGAAAAGTTAAGTTCAAGATGTTGTTTTACTGTTCCAGAGCTTTAAAATAAATTTTAGAAATTGGGCATTATGCCAATGGGTACACTCGAGCTTTGAGGAGTTTTCAGTGAAAATTTGGGAGGAGGAAAGGGGAAATAATATTTGAATGATGAAAATTACTTCATACATTATATCAAGAGATCTTCTAATGGAGGACAAGCATTAGACAGTCCCGGAAGTTAGATTGTTTAGTGGATCTGGCAAGAGCACTCATTTGGTACTTCCCTTCAGAGCTGAATGGAAGCATTGCACTAGAGTTGCTTTATTCTTGCATGCAGTATGGTGAAGTTCTGCCTTTTTATTCTCTAGAGGGGCGATCTGCCTGAAATTGAGATGTAATTTGCATTCCCACATTCCCACCACCACCTTTTTCAGGATACTACTCATAAAATGTGCATGTATTAAGAACACAATTACTGTTATGCTCAGTCCTGAAACTAAGACAAAACTTCAGCAGCTTCCTGAACTCCTTTTCTTGCCTTGTTTATGCTCTTTCCTCTTCTTCTCCATTTCTCCTCTCTCTGGCACAGCACAGCCCTTGATCAGGAATTCTCAACATGTTGCATGTATGTTCCTACTGAAAGTCTGTACTTTGGTAAAATAATATGAATTTCCAAACTAAGTAGGTTTTTGCCTACAATGTTAACGGTGGTTTGATAAAAAACCATCTCGATTACTGCTCAGCAAAAAGAAACAGCTTAAAAGCCAAAACTATGGAAACTTCTAAGTGCTCGTTTTTTTCTTTTGAACAGATAGTGTTGGCTGTGCTCATGAGTATTAGCTGGTTCTTTCACAAGTAATAAACATGAAGGATTGGCTTTATATACCAATGATCCTGTACACACATTTGTTATCTCTTCAGAAGAAACCTCTCCAAAGTTTGTGTGTGTGTCTGTGCATACACAAACACTGCATCTTAGGAATTACTTTCTAGGAGTATTTCTGGTAGCTGCAAGTGTTAAGTGTGATAAAATTAAGTCTGAAACAGGAAGAAGCCATCCTTCAACCTGTAAATTTTAAATTCCATCCATGTGCTATTTCTGCTTCCTAAGTCAAGGCTGAAAATTTCTGCATGTAAAAATCCTATTTCATAATTATGTTAATGAAAACTGCTCTCACTGGCATCATTTACTTATTTTCAACACTTTTTTTTTTCATGGCAGTAATGTATTTCATAATCGGAAAATCAATGTGGTCTTGTCAGGAGACTGGTAACTTCCCATAGTTTTTGGGAACTGCAACAATAAAAGCATTGTCAGTTTGTGAGAATTCTCTGTAAAGAATATAAATGTGTTTACTAGGTCATGGTAGCTTGGACTATAATGCTTTGGCTGTCTGACCATGTTAGATGTTACTCAAGTGCTCTCTTAAGCTTCAGTGCATTTTCATTATCTTGAGATCAAGCACTGTGTGGTTGGCCAGAAGCTTAAGTGCTGAGGAGTTATATATTTGATACCTATTACCCAGCTGAAGAGTTCTGTCACTTCCACTTTTTAATCCTGCCTGGTACTAAAAATAATTTATTCCTTGCACAAATTTTATAGATTTATATATTGAAATTGTATAGGTTTACTGGTGGACTGCCAAACAGTGAAATGCTTGTGACACTGGGCTGGATTTGGTTGATCTTTCCCACCCCAGATCAGACAGTAGATACAGAGGCAATTCAGAGCTTTTGTATTGCTCTCCAGATCACCTCTGCTGAGTCTGGATACTGAAAAAGAGTAACTCTCTTGAATTGTAAGGACTTTTTTAAATCACGGTTGCCGAAAAATGTAGAACTAATAATTGGATCAACCTTCCATGACTTGCTTCAATCAAAGATAGAAGAGGCATTATCTGAATCCTTAAGATTTCCTGTGCTCCTGAGTGATATCTTTGGATGTTCTTCTGGGATAATCCTTCAAGATCCTTATTCCATCTCTAGCAATATTTGGTATGAAGCAGTTCCACTGAGGAGGTTCTGAACTACAGTCAACAAGCGAGTCATGAAACAAATTAAGTAGAGCTAAAATACGGCCCTCTTCACTTGTATTCATTACATATGGTGATCAGGATGACTTCTTTGGTGGTGTCCTTCACTTTACAAACAAATTGTGTCTTGGTTTGGCAAAAGAAGAATGGTAAAATAAGTAGAAAAATCTAGGAAAAGTCATCTTGTCATTACTGTCCCGGGCAGTGAACAGAGGGTTTGCTGCCCAGTGGGATGCCTGCTTTATGCACTGTAGAGGTCTCAGTAATGTGGCTCTACTTGTTGATCGCAGAAATGGAAGTTTCATTTTAAAAGCTCAACCGTTGTCAGTGTCTTCTTCTGAACAGGTATGTGCATGCTGTAGTTTTTATAAAACCTCACCATAGATGAGCCTGGAGCGGTACTGGGCTATGGTATTCTGTGGAAGGTGGCGGTGAATAAGTGTTGTTACTGTCCTGTTTGAAATCAAAAAGACCCCTGGAAACTCTTCAAGGTAAGATCTAAGAGGAAATAGTAGTTTATATACATCAGTATGTGAGAGGACTTGCCTCTTTAGTTTTCCTAAGGAGGATGAAACAGTGAAATCTTTCCTTGGAAAAGCACCTAAGAATGATAGGGA